CTCTCCGACGATCCTTTGATTCTCACGATGATCTCCGAGCATGGAAACAGAATGATCGAGGTGCTTGAGCCCATGGGCAACACGAGCAAGACCTGAACGTGAGATAATCCGGATGCATCTGCAACTAGTCATTCGGGAGGATAAAGAGCTCGACACTCTCGTCAAGGAATCATTGCGGGAGACGGCGTCATCTTCATATACGTGGGTCCCTAATCAACAAAACCACTGAGAAGAAAAAGGAAAGTGGAAGAAAAAAAAAGAAACAATTAAAAAATTCCCAAATGAGCCCCACTTTTAACTTTTAGCAAGGGTAATATGGTCAATACACTATAAAAGGGAGTGTGAGAGTCGAGAGAGGAGTGGAAAAAGCGTGACCCCAGAATAATTACCATATAAATGTATTAATCATACTGAATTTTTAAGTTTGAGTTTGAATTTTTCTCATTCTATGATCATTTATCTAAATTATTCAGGAGTTGCTTAGTTTCATAATATGCTAGCTTTCTCTTTACAGTAGAGAGAAAAACCATTTTGAAAGGACAATGAACGTGGGGTAATTAATTAAATTTTTCATTTTTTATGCTTAGAAATGCCGTGAGGAGTTCTAAAGTTTCCTCAAATCTAGAGTCACACAATGCGACACTCGTTCCACGAGAGCGAAATATAACTTCTGGTTTGACAATTAAACTAAGCTGCATATCATCGTTTTTGAATATTTCATTTTCAATTTTGTGACTCGGAATTGCTTGCCGCAGTATTTGCTTAGCAATTCTTACGCAATTTTCGATCAGTGTGCTAGGTATTGTAAGATTAATTTTCAAATCGCAGAGAGAGTGAGGCACGGACCAGTACACGGACGCGAAGCTGCCGGTGGACCAACTGGGCGTCGCGATCAAGGCGTGTGAGATCCGGGAAAACGTGGTGCCCGACCTTGCCGAGCTGGCCCAGGCGTTGGCCAAGTCGCTCAACGGGACGAGGCCAGGGATCGAGAGGCCAAGGAGGCAAAGGAAAGAAAATTTTTTAATTTATTAGTGAGACAACTGCTTATTTGATAGAGTCATCTATCAATTGCCAATACCACAGTGGCAGAGCCCACGAATACAAGCTACGGGAAGCGTCCCTATACGAAAGCAGAACGCTGCGCAGTCTCGGACAACCTTGCAATGGGGGTCCAACTCCACTGGTCCCCGTGTGCTTCCACGTCCATCTGCACTTGATGTCCCTTCAAAAACCCAAAAGAAAAAGAAGTTGTATTGTCACTCGTCGCAAACAGTGTATATAAATATGTGGTTCGTGAGGGTGCCGAGAGAGAGAGACTGACACGACACCGTGAGCAATAGGATCGTCAAGACAGCCAGATATCGTGCAATTCTCCCCATGATGGTAGAGCTAAATGAGGAGGAGTCTCGACGGGGCGGAATTTATATACAAGTTCGGCGACGGCGAGAAAGGAAGGTTGAGATATTTTGGAGCATTAAGAAATGTGATTTGATGTATAATATGTATATGGGCAAGAGAGTGATGGTCCTGTGTTTCTGCACATATTTATCCGAGTATCAAAATGGTAGCTTAGATTGGCCTTAGATTTTGAGCAAGTCAATGCGAAGACGGAGAGAAAGGAAGGTTGAGATATTTTGCAGCATTAAGGAATGTGATAAAGATGTATAATATGTATACGATCTGAAAAAAACCAGAGGTTATTTGTATTCCTCGGAAACCCTGCCCACATCGCCATTCAATATTTCTTGGCCCACTATTGGCCAAACCACCTGGGCACTAGGTCCAATGTGAGTAGAGAGTGATGATCCTACTTCTACACATAATTATCCGAGTATTAAAACGGTAGCTTAGATTGGAGTTAGATTTTGAGCAAGTCAATGTGACAACGGCGACCACAAGAAAGAAAGGTTAAGATATTTTGCAGCATTAAGGAATGTGATCAGATGTATAATATGTATATGGCAAGAGACTGATATTCGTCTTTCTACATATAGTTATCCGAGTACTAAAACGGTACCTTAGATTGGAGTTAAATTTTGAGTAAGTCAATGTGATGACATATAATTACTTTGAAACTTTTGATGGCCCGAATTTCTTGATATTTATCGTTCTACTCTGTTAGAGACGTATATCCAGGATTATACATAAACCTCTCTTGACCGTGCATGTCCCCGTATGATCATAATCGATACCATAACATCTAGTTGCTCTAAATAGTCATTTTGTAAAGTCGATAAATAGGCTCATGCAAAACAATTCTCTCTTCCACGTATTCTTATATGAAGCTTTTATGTGTAGGTGTCCTTAAATTAATTTTGACACTGAATGGAGGTCAAAAGTGATTCAGCAAGTGTAGAAACCAGAGGCCGATGCTAATGTGCAATTGATGGATAATTTTTTTGTCTGCTTATATGCTATAATGAAGTGATTTCAGGCCATCAAAAGTGCTTGAATGTCGAAGTTCAGTCACCAGTGGCTTAATTGGATTATTTGTCCTTCCCGATTCACCCGGTACTATAGGTGGCAAATGAGTGAATTGGGTCGGGTGCTAAAATAAATTGACCCGTTTAGCTCGTATATATCATTAAAATTTTAATTAACTCATGTTGAATAGAATCCATCAAGACTCATACTCACCCATTTGCCTAATTGGACCCACTATGCTAAAATATCGTAAGTTTATGTTTGGGATATGTTCACTAGAAGTCATCAAACTTGTTACCAAAGTGCAATTGAGTCCTAAAACTTGTCAAATTGGTTCAAATGAATCTTAAAGTTAATACCATTAAACTTACTAATAGAAAATGCTGACGTGATGCTGACATGGCTTATTTTAATATTTTCTCTCTCCTACGTAGCGATGACGTGGCTATAACGACGTCATTTTGGCCCTAATTTGATTTTTAATACTACTTTTTTTAAGCTAAAAAAAAAGGAGGAGGAGGAGGACAGACGGGGAGGGAGGGCTTCCCCCCCCCCCCCCCCCGCCAGCCGCCGCCGCCCTACTATCGCCGAGAGGGGTCGACGAGGGTGGAGGGACGGCAAGCGGGGGTCGCCGGGCCCCGGCCAGGGGCCGATGACCCTCGCTGACAGCAGGCGAGGGCCCGGCCCTCCCCCAGATCGGGCGAGGATCGGCCGCCACTGTCAACCCTTTACCAGGTCTGGGCGAGGGCCAGCGACCCTTGCCCAATCTGGGGGAGGACCGCGACCCCTGCCTGCCATCCCCCCACCCTCGTTGGCCCCTCCCAACAATTGTGGGGTGGCGGCGGCGGGGAAGGCAAGCCCTCCCTCCCCACCTGTCCTCCTCCTCCCCTTTTTATTTTTATTTTTTTGAATTTTAGCTTATTTTTTAAATTTAATTTAAATAAAATTAATATTAAAATAATGATAAAAAAATGTCACGTCATTGCCATGTAAGATAGAAATAATAATAATAAAGCCACGTCAGCATTTTTCGTTAGTAAAATCGAATGGTGTTAATTTTAGAACTCGATTGAATCAATTTGACAAGTTTTAATACTCGATTGCACATTTTGCAAGTTTTAGGACTCAATTGCATTTTCGTGATAAGTTTTAGGATTTCTAGTAAATACATCCCTTTATGTTTTAAGTCGCCCTTTTTTCCAAAAGCACCCAAAATTACAATTTTAACCGGAGAAACCATGCCAGTTTGGATAGAAAATATTGATATCGGATGTGCAATAATATTTCTCGATAACATTACATTCAATAATGAACCTTTTTATTAGACATAACATTTTGGAGTAATCATTAATTAGGCTAGATATATTATGAGCAATGTTATGAAAAATAAAATGTAAAATTTTACGTACATGATATTTATCTATATGACTGATCGTACCAACTATTCATCCTATTAATATACTAACCATGCAATTATTTTAACATAAAAGTTAGATTTTATATCATAATATTATTATCATTATAATTATGTCTGTTCCTTTTTGAAAGACATTTGCATCTTTTTATAATATAGACCTTTTTAGATGTTTATATAGCAATCCATTTTTAAGAAAAAACAATCAACAATTAGCTTAATTAAGAAATTTTGTTTAATTATACATAATGTTCAACCTATGGCAGAAATTTTAACATTCGACTTTGTTTGAGAAAAAAAAAACTTTTTTTGCCATAAAAGAGGCAAGTTTCTAGCTTTTCCTTTTAACTGTTGAAGTGTAAAAATTTTATAAAATTATTTACAGCCACCTAAATGCTTACTCACACGACATGAAGGAACTCATAACGAGCAAATACTATGGCAAATGGTTTCTTGTAAGGAAATAAATTTGTTTTACAAGGAGTTGGGAAGAAACTCGATTTTAAAGCCGTAAGAATGCAGGATAGCTGCGACTTAAGCTTATAATATCGTGCCGATGTCAAGTGGGGTTTGCCCACGTAGAATATAATAACCATAAGGATAAACAATTATGTACGGGAAATGAGCGAGCAAATTTACGTAGCGATTGCGATCTAATTAGAGAGAAAAAAGCGCGACGAGGTGATCTTATAAATATATCCACGTTAGAAATTAAATGCGAAGGGTGATTTTCACCCGTCCAACTTTTTGATCTGAGGAGCATATCATAATTTAATTATTGCATATCATAATTATATTATAAATTTCATTATTCATTTATGGCTAAGTCCCCTTTATTCCCATCCGACACCCCGAGGTGGGTCCTACTCGCTTGTCGTGTTTCCACGTGGTCGCTGGAAGTTCGTCAGCCGTGACGCAACCCAATGAACTCCCCCCAGTCAACAAAATCCATCTCTCTCTCTCTCTCTCTGCAACACCCCCAGAGAAAGCTGCTTCTTCTTCTTCTTCCAATGAATTCGTCTTGTATCCTCCGCCATCATCGCCTCCTCCGCCGTCTCTTCCGCCCCGTCGTCCGCCGTTGAAGCCCGCCCCTCGAAGCGCAGAGGAGAGCGAGAGGCGACGGAGAACTGCGAACTGGTTTGCCAAGCTCGAGCCATCAGCCATGTCCGTCCACATCCTCATGTACCCTTACCCGACCCCGGGCCACATCATCCCCCTCCTCGACCTCGCCCACAAGCTCCTCCACCTCCGCCGCTCCGACCTCGCCGTCACCGTCCTCGTCACCCCCGACAACCTCCACTTGCTCGACCCCTTCCTCTCTTCTTCCTCCTCCTCCTCCTCCTCCTCGCTGCAGTTCCAGCCTCTGGTCTTGCCTTCCCCGGAGCCGCCCGCGACGCCCCATCCGCCGCGGAGGCGCCTCGCCGCCAACGTCCGCGCCCTCCGCGACCTCCACCTCCCCCTCCTCTCCCGGTGGTTCGAGTCCCACCCCTCCCCGCCCTGCGCCCTCGTCTCCGACTTCTTCCTCGGGTGGACCCACCGCTTCGCCCGCGAGCGCGGCGTCCCGCGCGTCGTCTTCTCGCCGTCCGGCGCCTTCGGGCTCTCCGTCAACTTCGCCCTGTGGCGGGACCTCCGCAGGCCCGACGAGGAGTCGATGGTCTCGTTCGAGAAGTTGCCGAACCGCCCCCGCTTTCCCTGGTCGCACATCCCCCTGATATACAGGAATTACGAGGTGGGTGATCCGGAAATGGAGCTCCTTCGGGAGGGCGCGATCGGCAACATCGAGAGCTGGGGGATCGTGTTCAACTCGTTCGACGGGCTGGAGCGGGCTTACCTGGATCACATCAGGAAAGAGGTCGGGCACAACCGGGTTTGGGCCGTGGGCCCGCTTTTGCCCGCCGAGGCCGACGGCTCGGCCGGGCCCGTTAGTAGGGGCGGGCCCAGCTCGGTATCGGCTGGCCAGGTGCTGACGTGGCTGGACGCCTGCCCGGACGGTTCGGTCGTCTACGTGTGCTTCGGGAGCCGTGCCGTGCCGACGCAGCGGCAGATGGATGAGTTGGCGGCGGGGCTGCTGGAAAGTGGGGTCAGGTTCATTCTATGCGTGAGGGAGGCAAACCGGGGAGGACATGCGGCGGAGGGGAATTACGGGGCGGTCCCCGAGGATTTCGAGGAACGAGCGGCCGGGAGGGGCCTCGTGATCAGGGGTTGGGCCCCGCAGGTGCCGATACTGAGGCATCGAGCCGTGGGTACGTTCCTGACTCACTGCGGGTGGAACTCGACGCTGGAGGGGCTCAGCGCCGGGACGGTCATGCTGACGTGGCCGATGGGCGCGGAGCAATTCGTGAACGCCAAGCTGCTGGTGGACGAATTGGGCGTGGGAATGAGGGTCGGCGAGGGGTCGGAGAAGATACCGGAGGCGGCGGAGTTGGCCCGGGTTTTGGCCGAGGCGTTGAGGGGCGATCTGCCCCAGAGGGTGCGAGCCAAGGAGATGAGCAGCGCGGCTTGGAACGCAATCGAAGGAGGGAGCTCAGAGAAAGATTTGAGTGACTTCGTGAGGTGCGTGGACGAGCAAAGGAGGACCAAAATCCATGCTTAGCATCTTCACGTTCTATGTACCGAAGCCACAAATTGTGATGAGAGAACGAAACGATGATTATTTTATGTATGGATTCTTGGGCACCGCGATGTGACTCGGACTCCTCGAGCGTTTTATATGAATTGTTGGAGACTTATCGAGTTCTTACGAATTATATTAGATTGGGAAAAGTGCACTGAAAATCCTAAAATTTGTCACGGAAAAGCAATTGAGTTTTGAAGTTCAATTGAGTCATGAAACTTATCAAATTTGTGTAATCAAGTCATTTTGTTAACTCCGTCTGATCTTACTAACGAATTGAGCTGAAACATGAAGCATAAGGCTAAAACGACATCGTTTTGGTCCGGATCTAATTTTTTTTATCAAAATTTCATATAAACTAAATTAAAATGTAGTTAAATTTTCAAAAAAAAAAAGAAAAGGTGAAACCAGGCAAGGGAAGGACTGTCGATGGTGGGGAATGGCCGGTAACCCTTGCCGATTGGCGGCCCTCAGCCATATTTGGGCAAGTGAGGGTCAACGACGATTGCCGGCCACTAGCCGCGGCTCGAGGACTTCAACTAGCCATCCCCACCATCGTCGAATTTCTCGATAGGGCGGTAACGGCAAGGGCTACCCTCATCTGGTTTTTTCCTTATTTTTCCTTTCCTTTTTTTAAAGTTAGCTTATTTTTAATATAATTTAAATAAGATTTGTATTAAAAGATCAAATATTTTAATCATATCATCGCCACGCGGGAGAAAGAAAATAATAACTAAAAAAAAGTCACGTTAACATTTTCCATTAGCAAAGTTGGACAAAGTTAACGCCATTAGCAAAGTTGGACAAAGTTAACGAAAGTAGTTGATTGCACCAATTTGACAAGTTTTATGATTTGATTACACTTTTAATTATATTTTCATCACAAGTTTTAGGACTACGTGATCTGTTTGCTTGTTTTTTTTATTTTTTATTTTTTCAAGAACAGGTTTAGAATAGAAATTCGTTTGGTAAAATAATTTTATTTTTCAATTTACGGGACAAATTTTTAACCTAAAAATAGGTTTCGAAGGTTTTAGAATTTTCAATTTTTCTATTTTTGGAATAGAAAAAATAACAACTCTTTTATATTGCTCGCCCTCCCCGCCCGCCGGCCGCCGCTACCAGCCTGTCATCTGCCCGTCTGCCGCCTCCCATCGTCCGCCACCGCCGGTCGCCGCCCGCCCGCCCGCCATCCGCCCGCCCCAAAGGCAAAGGTAAAAGGATTACTATGTTGGTTCAGTTTGAAACCGCTAAACAAGATTTGATTATGATCTCGCGACCTTTTTGGGTCTCTCGGGCTTCTTCTTGTTCGACTCCTCTCTCAGTTTCTTGGAATCCTCCTCCTTCCCCAGCCACTCCGCCGTCCCTCGCAACTCGCTAGTCGCTAACCATGGCGAGTCGCGCCGCACCCACCTCGCCGCCGAGCAAGCGGTCCAAGAAAGCCCCGCCGGACGATGGAGGACGGCGACGAGCGGCGCCCGACGACGGAGGAGGATGACGGCGGCGTGTGCTGCGGGATCTGCCTAACGGAGGAGGGAAGAGCCGTCCGGGGCCGGATCGACAACTGCGACCACTACTTCTGCTTCGTGTGCCTCATGGAGTGGGCCAAGGTGGAGTCCAAGTGCCCCATGTGCAAGTGCAGGTTCTCCGCCATCCCGAGGCCTCAGAAAGACGGCGTCTTTGCCGGCGAGAGGGTTGTCAGCGTCCCGCCCCGTGACCAGGCACGTTCTGAATGTTTCGAACTCGGGTAGATTGCGTCTCGTGTTTGGACAACTGGGTCCTTTTCCTTTCTCGGACTTGATCAGCAAAATTCATTGATTTCGATGCTTTTACTTGGGGATAGAGCAGCTCGTTTGAGGGGCTCCTTGTGGTCAGTAATTGGTTTTGCTTTGTTCCTTTGATCAAATTTGGTTAATATTGAATTAGTATTAGAGCTACAGTCTGTCTTACCGTTGAAGGATTTGAGATGAATGTGTTTAATTTAAGCTGGTGATTTTTGCCTTCCATTCTGCTTGAGCATACGACCGTGGACTTTATTTCCACTGAGTAATCTAGTGATAGAACCTCTTGGCGGCAATGGATTGGTGTATGCTTTGGACTTTGCCTCCTCGCTTTGGGTATGTGTTCCTCGGCTCTCACAATGGAATGGTCTTCGTTTAGCATGCTGGATTCTGAGACGGGATAGTACTTTGGGTGTCTCAATGCTGTTTTCCTTACTGAAAAAGGGTGTTGGTAGTTGTCTAAGGCGAAGGAAATATCCCAGGGGGAAGTATGCCTAGTAAGTGATTGATAAAATTACTGAATGAGAGAAACATCTTCTAGATGACCTTCACCTATTCTGCGATGGACATTTCTTTAACTATTAAACGGGGAGTTGTTTGCTACAAACACGCCTAGTAGTGTTGATTGGGCCTGCGAGTTTTTCTTGATAACATATTTCTGAACCTCCCTCTTCACTCGACGTCGTGGTGTGCTTCGGTGCAGGAGCTCTGTGTTGCCCTCAGCCCGCAGGGCTCAGAGCTATCCCCTACTTGGAACTACAACGGAGGAGGATGAAGTTTCAGAGTCTCGCTTAGCTACACCATGTAGTAAAGTGGGTACTTTATGGTCAGAAAACGACTTAGCAGTAATCGATGGAGTGGTTCCAACTACAAGAATGCCAGTCGACTCTGCTCGGGCAACTGTTATCATATCCAACCATTAACTTTCAACCCTTCCAAAGCACTATGGAGAAAATAGTCCATAGTCTCCATAGTCTTTGGACTATTTTCTCCATAGTGCTTTGGAAGGGTTGAAAGTTAATGGTTGGATTTGTTAACAAAAAAAAAAGCACTATGGAGAGAGCGTGGAGAGCTGACTCAGTGAATATTACTCAGGAAGACTAGAGAACTTTTGCCTTTGCTTTCAAAACAGAGCATGAGTTGAAAAGGGTCTTAGAGGCTGGACCCCGGTCTTTTTCTAGCAACCTAGTGGTGCTCAAACCATATATACTGGATGTCCCACTTCCAAACTATGAATTCACACAATGTGATTTTTGGGTCCAAGTGCACAGTTTGCCTTTGAACCGGATCTCAGAGGACTCCATCAAGAGAATCACAGCAGCTGCTGGATGTGTTTGTAATGTCAGAACCGACCCAAAGGCTTTTCCAACCTTCTCAAAGGGTAAGGCCAAAGTAAAAATCGACTTGGCAGCCCCCTTGAAGCCTGGAATGATAGCTAGCCAAGGAGGGAGGAAATTGTGGGTTGACTTCCGATACAAGAGGTTACCACATTTCTACTATTCTTGTGGTCGTATGGGGCACTATGCTAAGTTCTGCGAAGTCAAGCATTATGACGAGAACAGGCTTGAAACTAACGAACCTGGATGCTTTGGACTTTGGCTTCGTGCTGAATCGAGAGAGTGGAGCCCCCTTTGGAAATCGTTCCATGCAAGGCTTGGGAATGTAGACATGGATGATGAGATTGTCCCTGAAACTCCATCCCCTTCACTTCAGCTGGTGGCTTTTGAATCGAGAGGCAAGAGACCACTAATTCCAAGTGGTGAGAAGATGACAGAGAAGCCAGGGATGCCCTTTGTTTTTAATCCAAAAGCAAGAGAAGTAGGTGTCAGCGGCTCCAAAGAAGGACTCCAGCAACAGTTATTGTTGATTAAAGCTCCTGTCTCGACCCTAGGGACAGAAGGGAGCTCTCTTGGTCATCAAAAGACAAGGAGTCGGGGAAAAAAATCAATAAACAGCAAGACTCAGAGCAGGTATAGCCCTTACTCTCCCCAGAAGGGAATCGCTCCCGTCTTGGACGAAACCCAACTTTTAGATACCCCAATCCAAGTTCTGGTTGATCATCAGGTACGGACTTTGGTGGCTAGCACTAATGAGCCACCGGGTGTCCCATGAATATCTTAAGTTGGACTTGTCAGGGGTTGGGCAATCCCCTGACAAAGCGGGAACTGCATGTCTTAGTGGCACATGAGAGGCCTAGCATCATTTTTTTTATGGAAACAAAAAACAAAGAAGAAATTATCTTGAGGCTGAAGAGATAGCTTTGTTTCCAGTTTAGTGCAGTGGTAAACCCAATAGGTATCGCAGGGGGGTTAGCGATATTATGGATTGATTTGGTATCATTAAAGTTGGTAAGTGCCTCCTCGAAGCTGATTGACCTAATTTGCTTGGTGATAGGAAGCCAAAACCATATAAGAGTCACTTTTGTTCATGCTACAATAGTATACCAAGAAAGGCTCCAACTCTGAGGGAAGTTGCAGCTAGTCAGCGAAGCCAACCATTTACCGTGGATATGTATGGGAGATTTCAATAAGATCTTGCATCGTGGGGAAAAGGTTGGAGGATGTAGGGCGGTTCATTACAAGTTAGCTAGGTTATCAAAAAAAAAAAAATCATTACACGTTAGCTGCATTTCGGGACTTTCTTAGTGGATGTTCCTTTATGGATGTAGAGAGCAAGGGTTGCGCATTTACATAGGTAAACACTAGGGATGGGGAGGCACACATCAAAGAACGACTTGATAGAGTTGTATGCAATATGGAGTGGAGAGTAATGTACCCAAATGCACAAGTTCTTGCCCTTCCTGCGGTCAGCTCGGATCATTGTCCCCTATTGCTTTCACTATCAGCAGCAATGACAAAAAGGAAGAGGGAATTCAAGTTTGAAGCATACTGGTTGGAAGATGAAGAATGTAGAAGAGTTGTTCAGTCAATGTGGAGTATACCTAGATTGGAAAATGAGAAACTCTTGAGGAAATTACAAGGAGTATCAGAAGCATTAACGAAGTGGAGCAAAGAGAAGTTCTCAAATGTGAAACGCCAAATAACTATCTAAAAAGGGAGCTTCAAGAGATCACGAATACTCTAACTGTGCATCACAATAGAGAGTGTGAAGTTCTTGAACCAGCAAATGGATGAACTAGGGAAACAAGAGGAAATGTTTTGGGGAATGAGATCACGGATCAGCTAGTTGCAGTGGGGAGACAAAAACACTGAGTTTTTCCATGCAACCACAGTACAAAGAAGACAAAGAAACAAGATCTCTATGCTGAAATTAACGGATGAGGAATGGTGTCAGGATCCAAAGCAACTACAGGATATGACCGAGCAGTTCTTTAAGTCTCTATACACCACCGAGGGCCCAAGAAACTTTCAACCAGTACTAGAACATTGTCCCAACTTAGTGGAGGATCAAATGAATTGCAATCCACTGAGAAGTGTATCAATGGAGGAGGTAAAGGAAGCAACTTTCCAGTTGGGAGCAAAGAAAGAACCAGGACCAGATGGTTCAAATGGGCTATTCTATTAACAACATTGGGACATCATCCAGCACGATGTATTCACTATGGTGAGAACAGTCTTTGACTTTGGCCATCTTGACCCAAACCTGAACAGAACACATTATTATGATTCCCAAGAAGCCTAACCCAGAAACGCTAGACCAGTTCAGGCCCATTAGCTTATGCAACTTCGGCTACAAAATTATCTCTAAGGTCTTGGCAAATCGCCTAAAACCTTGGCTTCCTAATATGATAGCGAAGGAGCAAAGCGCTTTTATTAGTGGCAGACAAATACAAGATAATATCCTGGTTGTTCAAGAGGTCTTACATCAGCTAAGAATCAGGAAGAGGAAAAGGAAATTTCAAGCCATCCTCAAGCTGGACATAAAAAAAAGCCTATGATCGGGTTGAGTGGGACTTCCTTGAAGCATGCATGATTAAGATGAGTTTCAGTGCAAGATGGGTTTCATGGATTATGCAATGTGTCACCACAGTCTCCCTTAGTATCAAGTTTAACAGAGAACCCCTTCCCTTCTTTGCGCCATCGAGAGGTCTTTGGCAATGAGACCCTTTATCCCCTTACTTATTCATAATTGTTGCAAACGTACTCTCCTCACTCATGTAGAAAGCCGTGGATGATGAGAGTGTTAGAGGAATCAAACTCAATAGGTTTTGCCCGACACTTTCCCATCTACTTTTTGGAGACGATTCTATTTTCTTTGTGGATGGAAAGGTTAGTGAATGCCATAACCTAGCCTCTATTCTACATCAGTACTGCTTCGCAATAAGTCAAGAAATCAACCTCAACAAATCAGGAGTTTTTTTCAGTTCAGGGTGCCCACATCAGCTGAGAGGGAATATGGCCCAAGAATTGCGAGTTCCAGATATTGACAAAATAGGGAAGTACCTAGGAATCCCCTCCGATTGGGGCCAAACAAAAAAGCAAATGTTCGCATGGATTTTGGCAAGAGTAAACATGAAGCTGGAAGGGTGGAAAGACAGTTTTATCTCCAAAGCGGGTAAAAGGATCTTAATAAAAGCGGTGGTACAAGCTTTACCACAGTATGCGATGTCCATATTCAAAATCTCAGTGTCCATTTGCAAGGCCATAAAGAGGAAGATTGCTTTATTCCGGTGCAAACACATACATAAAAAACCGGCCTTCATTGGAGAATATGGGAGATACCGAAGCAAAGAAAAGACAAAAGAGGTTTGGGCTTCAAAGACCTCATCACGTTTAACAATAAGATGCTAGGAAAACAAGTTTGGAGAGTCTCTCAAACTTCAAATGCATTATGGTGCAAAGTTCTAAAAGGATGTTACTTTCCAAACATCGATTTCTGACATGCAGCTAAAGGTTCTCGTCCATCGTGGGGCTAGCAGAGCTTTCTTATGGGAAGAGATGCCATTTCGAAGGAGGTGAGGTAGAAAGTGGGTAACGAGCAGCATATTAGAATCATGGAAGATAGATGGCTAGAAAGGGGGCGAATTAAGAGGACCAAAAAATCAACATGAACCCAACATGGTTGCAAAATTGATCGCCCCAGTGGAACCTCTCTAGAATGAACAACTTTTACACAACTTGTTCGATGAAGAAGTTGTGAATGAAATCCTAGCTACTCCACTGCCATCTACCCCGAAGGAAGACTCGCTAGTGTGGTCACCAAATCTGTCAAGTTGTTATTCCGTCAAAAGCGGATACAATGAGCAACGAAAGAATGAGACCACACATGGCTCTGGACAGCCCTCTTCTTCCTACCGAAACCCCTAATGCTCTTTGGAGCAAAATTTGGAGGCTAAGGCTGCGCATGTCAACCATTCTGTGCCCGGGAACAGATTCTGGTCAGAAATGATTCTTTTTTATTCTGTGCCCGGGAACTGATTCTGAGCATTTGAAGGCGTTTGATAACTGGCCAAAATTTCTATTCCTGAAATAGAAAAAGAACAGAAATGCGTTTGATATCTGCAGAACTGATTCTATTCCAAAAATTTTTCAAATGCTTTTTAAAACTTGGTATTTACAATTGTCATGGAGCACTTACCAATTATTTTTTTCTTGCAAGTGAAGGAAACATGGTGAACATGATGATATGAATATACCAAGTATTTACATGGTGATGTCCTCATCAGGTCAAAGTGTCCATCAACACAAAGTAGCATCAATTGTTGAGAAATAGAATCTTCGCAGTATATAGAAAAGAAATAAATGAGAAAAAAAAAATCAGGACCATGATGCTGGCAAAGTCAATTTGCCAAAAATTCCCTTCTATCAATTCTTAGGGGGTGGGGCTACTTCCACCCCCATTTTAGATGGAACCACGCGTTTTTGTTTTAAGTGAATTTTAATAATGTTTGAGAATTGTCTATGAATGAAATCAGACTCCTTGGTTTAAACAAAAAATTCCAATTGTTTTATCGATTCACACTTTTTGTACAGGACTTAGAATGGTCAATAATCAAGGAAAGAATATTCTGAGGTCATTTCGACCCTTAACTTTGAATGGAAAGTAAGTGAATTTTAATAACGTTATTAATATTTAACTGAGTATCAATGGCATAAGGGTGTTATTGTCACTTTATATAAAAAGGTGGTTTCATCCAAAATGGGGGTGGCAATAGTCCAGCCCTTCTTAGGGAGGTCAAGTTGATTCGATGCTTTGAAAAGAGAACCTCTAAGTAATGCAAGCACTCAGCCGCACAAAAGGAAGCTTAAGGTGCAGCTTGCTTGGCGAAATACGACAATTGTGGTGCAGAGATTCGACTTCGTGCATAAGTGGACAACCTAAAGTTGTTCTGCTCAGGTGATATGACTATATATAAAAGAAACGCTATTAAAATTCATCACTTCGTGCATAAGTGTATAGCCTAAAGGTCGTACTAAAAATAGTCAGCAAACAAGAGAGGCACACAAAAACTCAAGACACATAAGGATCCTCTCCCGTCGTCATATAGTATTTAAAAACAATATTACAAAAGTCGGAAATACAATATCATGGAATCTCGGGCATATTGTTATCCTTTGCCATTTTATTTGCAATACTTTTCCTAAGCATGTTTATCTCAGCTGCTTGCTCATGTGATGTATCATCTGCAACCTCCACTTCTGTAGCTCCAAATGGATACTCCGGATCTCCATAATGGGAAAAGTTTTTGTCCATCCTGTCTTGGTCACGAATGTAATTATGAAGAGCACAACATGCAATTACAATAAGTGCTTGCTTTTTAATTGTAAATGAAGGCATGTGTCTCAAAATGGTGAAGCGATTCTTTAATGCCCCAAATGACCTCTCAATGACATTCCTTAGTGATTCCAGTCCCTTGATCCAACGATGTTCTTGTCAACATATAACTCACTATAAAGATACTTCAGGTACAGCAAGCTTGCTCACTGACAACTAATGAAAAATACACCCAGACAGCAGTGCAAATTAAGTCTGCTTGCCTACACACTAGAATGTTAATACTTCTAATGGTCTTCTTATGCGCATACTGCACAATATAATGCACCTACAGAAGTAATACAGATTGTCCACCATGGATAACCACAAGAAAGGCGGCCTTGGCCCTGCCAACAGTCCACAGGATTATTGGCAATTTCATGAAGTTAACATAGTCTTGTCATACCGCATTCCAAGCCAAGGACCATAAGAAAAGCTCACATATCAATGAAACCTTCATTAAAAATGGTTCCTCTTGTTTTCTTTGCTTGGCATAACAAATGGCTCCATGAATCTCCAACTAATAATAATCAGAACTAGAAAAATGAAGAGAGAAATCATTTCAATAACAGGTGAGGATTTTACCTTTGTGAATCAACTTGGACAAATTACAGAAAGCAATCGACAGAAGCGTGGAACTGAATCCAGGTGAAACGAACTTCTACTCAAATTGATTAATCACCAATCAACCTGTGCAATCTGATGAACAAAAACAGCAGAACCATTTAACAAATGAAAATCACCACCCCCAATGCTAAAAGGATTGCCGTTGTGAAAAGCAACACGAGACAATTACCAATGACCAATACCATATCACCATAGTTGCATAAAACAACCTCACAAGTTAGAAAAAGAAAAAACTGGGAATAGAACCAATTGTGCAGTCGATGAGGAAAGTTCAGGTTTTGGGGGAAACCCAAGATTACAACACGCAAACGTGAAGTGGGCAGGCATCAAAAAATGGGAATTTGAGGCCGCAGAATGAATTTGCGGAGATTCAGAGGCACGCAAAATAAGCAGAGGCAGGGACACGATGATGTTCTCACCAATTTGGTGGAGGGATTAGAGTTCACACAAAGGAACAAAATGGTTGAGATGTGACCGGGAGAGGCTAACGCAGGTGAGGATAGTGTTGGCTCGCAAGCGAGCCTTCACCCAGATCGGTCGTCGCCAAGATGGGCGAGCGCGGTGGAACTCGCTCGAGCGAGCCCTTGCCCAGATCTGCAGCGGCGGCAGCGCTCGGGCAACCGTCGCCGATCTGGGCAAGGGCTCGCACGAGCGAGCGCCGCCGCGCTCGCCCATCTTGGCGACGGCCGAGGCTCGAGCGAGCGCCGCCCTCGCCCAAGTCGGCGACGGCTCTCTCGAGTTCGCGCCATCGCGCGAGCCCTTGCCCAGATCGGCAACGGCTGCCCGAGCGCCGCCACCGCGACGGCGTCCCTCCATAGTTGCAAGTCATCAGCAAGAACTCATCTCGAACGAGAAGGAGCAGCCTCGTCGGTGAAGGAGCAGCAGCCGTGAACTCCACGAGTAAAATGAGTTCTGGGCAGGAGAAGAAAACGAAGTTGTTGTTTTTGATTCTTTCGTTGTTGTTTTTGATTCTTTTTTTTGTTCCAGAATCAAGAAGTTACTTTTTTTTTATTCTTGATTCTGTTCCAAAACTGATTCTGGGAACAATTTTTTGCAAAAATGTGCCTAGAATCAAAAAATTAAACAAACGCATTTCTGTTCCCAAACTGATTCTGGGAACAAAAGAACAGAATCAAACACTATTTGGCACGTTGTCATGCGCAGCCTAAAAACACTTCCAAAAGTCAAACTTTTCCTATGGAGCGTCTATTAATATGCATTACCTACAAGGCTAAACTTGTTTAAGAGAAGGGTATTATCTAAGCCATTTTGCCCCTTGTGTGGAAAAAAGTTCGAGACAGTCGAGCATCTATTCCTCTTATGTGACAAGACAAAGCAGGTTTGGTCAAATCCCGAATTCAACATCCACTTTCTCACCAACAAGTCACTAGATTTGAAAAGTGGTTGCTAAACTACAATGATATGACCCAGAAGAACATATCGTTCGAGATCATCGCAGTCACCCTCTAGAAATTCTGGTTAGCGCGTAACTCTCTTGTCTTCTATCACGATCATTCGGACCCAATCAGCATAATCGACTCGGCTCTAGACATGCATTGTAATTACGCGAAGTGGAATAGAAGCAACTTAAAGCGCGAAGCAGTATCGCTAAACTTACGGCCGAGATGGAGACCACCAAACCCTTGTTTGCTGAAGATAAACATCGATAGATCTTACCTCTCAGGGACCATGGAAAGCGCAATTGCATGTGTATGCCGCTATTCAAAAGGAAGATTGATGGAAGGCCTCACGCGACCAGTCCGAGCATCTTTCGCTCTTCAAGCTAAAGCCCTTGCCTATCTCTATGCGCTCTAACACTTTGCCGATCGACCTCATATAAAACTAACGCTGGAGTCTGACTATTCAACTTTGATAAGCTATCTAAAAGATTTTTCCCTCTATCCTTGGGATGTTGAGCCACTTATCGCTGATTGTTTGGCCTCTTGGTTTTTTTTAGAGTCTAAAATTGGTCCTCTGCACCCGTGACTTAAATAGACAAGCAGACTGGGTTGTAAGGCGTCAAGGTGTAAGACCCTCTGCCTAAACTGGGTTTCTAACCCCCCATCTCCTCTTTGGGAAATCCTGTGTTTTGATGCCCCTTACTTTTGTTGGTGGGCTCGGGTTTAATGAAATGATATCTCTATTTCGAATAAAAAAAAATCTAGTGATAGAAAACCTGAACCAAAAAAATTGAAAAAATTTAATCAAAGAAGCAATTTGCTATCTGTGTTCTTTGGCAGGTTTATGATCCCCATGGACTTAGATCTTTTGATCCTTATACGGAAACGCAGTGCGGTGTCTGCAGAGGCAAATAAGATGAATGGTGTCTGCTGCTTTGCGATCTCTGCAATTCGGCTGTTCACACTTATTGTGTGGGATTGGGTGTCACTGTACCCCAAGGGGATTGGTTTTGCCATGACTATGCTGTTATGAGGGACGAACATGTTGGAACCAAAAGGAATGATGATTACTTTGGAAATTTAGAACAAGTGCACAAGTTGGAGGGAGAAATTGTTCTTAGAATACTTTCTGATGGGTTCAATCAGTATATAACACTCACCTCAACTCCTTATATAAAAGCACAATACCTATACTACATTTAATGATGAAGAAAAACATTCCGCACGCTTATTTTCTGAAGGACAAAATGTCAACAACAAAACGAACACAAACATTAAATGAGCCAAAGACCATGAAGTCTTTGTTCCTTCTGACAATGTTAGAAGTTCACGCTCTTTGACAAAAAATCAAACAAGAGCTCCTCTTTTTCTTATAAAAGCATTTACTAGTGGAGGGTCCAGGCAAAGATAGGCAAAGATAGCCCACCATAAATCATGATTATTTCCTTTTGTCTTCAATCTTCTTCTGACACCCACCATAAATCAAGACTTCCAAATCTAGAAACTAGCTATGAACGTGTTTAAATTCAATTATTAATCTTATATTATTCAAACAACATCCCTTAAAATTGATTTTGAAATTCAACAACACCAAGCATCTTCTTTAATTTTTCGAACGAATCCGCTTTTAATGGTTACGTCAAAATATCTGCAATTTGATCTTCCAATTTGCAAAAATCAAGCTCAATCTCACCATCTTTGACTCGTTCATGAATACAGTGATACTCGATGTCAATATATTTGCTCCTGCCATGAAAAACTGAATTCTTGGCTAATGCAATAGCCAACTTATTGTCACACATCATTTTGGTAGGACCTATTTGTTCATGCTTCAATTCACGCAGCATCCTACGAATCCATATCGCTTAACATGCCGCCAAAGCTAACGCTACGTATTCTGCTTCAGCTGTCGAGAGTGCAACAACTTGTTTTTTCAAAGACCAAGAAATTACTCCTAATCAAAGAAAGAAAGCATATCCAGAAGTACTCTTTCGAGTCTCGGTATCACTTGCCCAATCACTATCTGTGTACCCTACTAGATTGAAATTGTCAGTATAAGAATATAAAATTCCATGGTCACGAGTTCCACTAACATACCATAAAAAAAATTTTGCTGCATGCAAATGTGATTGGTACGGTTTTTCCATGAACCTGCTAATATTTCCCACTCCATAGGTAATATTTGGCCTAGTAGATGCCAAATATCTCAAACCTGCCAACAATGCTTTTGAAATAAGTGAGATTTACCAGTTCATCGGTTCCTTCTTTCTTCAGCTCCAACCGTTCTACTACAGGAGTCCGAATTAGCTTGAGCAATTCCATTTTCAGTCGCTTCAAAATATCATTAGCATATTCCTGCTATGAAATAAATATGTCATCATTTGCCTGTTTCACTTCAAGGCCAAGAAAATAGGACATCAATCCTAAATTTGTCATCTCGAACTGGCTAGTCATAACCTCCCTCAATTGAGCAAACATCTTTTCATAGCTCCCTGTAAATATCAAATCATCAACATAAAGGCACACAATTATTATGTCACCATTAGTATTTGACTTGATATACAAAGTATGCTCATACGGGCACTTTTGAAAATCATGCTTTAACAGGTACATGTGTACCAAGCACGAGGTGCATGTTTTAGCCCATACAATGCCTTTTTCAGCTTGTAAACTTGATTTTCATACCCTTTCTTCTCATAACCCTATGGTTACTCCACATAGACTTCCTCTTCAAAGACACTATTAAGAAATGCTGATTTCACATCCATTTGATGAATCCTCCAACAGTTTTGAGCTGCAAGTGCTAAGATCATCCGAATGGTATCCATTCGAGTCACTTGTGCAAATACGTCAAAATAATCAATGCTTGGTTTTTGCTTGTAGCCCTTTACAACCAGTCTGGCTTTGTAAAGGTCCACCTAACCATTGGGTTTGTACTTCGTCTTGTACACCCACTTAACACCAATGGGCTTCTTACCGGGAGGTAAAGAAGTTAGCATCCATGTGTCATTCTTATCAATGGAGTATATTTCTTCATCCATTGCTTGGATCCGCTTCTCGTCTATGGCTGCTTCATCATAGGATACAGGGTCACATTCAGCAAATAAACAAAAGTTTACCATAATTTCATCAATTATTCTGTCACTATTACTGTCATCGTCTCTTGTGACCACATAATCCTTGAATTTTGCTGGAGTCTCTCTCAATCGCTGTGAATGACGTAATGGTGGTACTAAAGCTTTTATTGGTGAAGAAGATGTACCACCAGTCGAAGATGATGGAGGTTTTTCTGTATCTCCCTCCAATAGTTCATCTTCGATGGTAATGCTTTTCTGGTCACCCTTTTGGTTCCAGTTCTAGGCTTCATCTTCTAAAAACTAGACATCCCTGCTGATGATTACCTTTACAGTGATTGAGTTATACAACTTATAACCTTTAGTTGTGTCACTGTAGCTAATGAAGATGCACTTCTCGCTTTTGTCATCCAACTTCTTCCTTCGTTCATCTGGTATATGGGGATATATCACGCACCCAAATACTCGTAGAAATGAAACATCAGGTTTGTTGCCGCTCCAAGCCTCTTCTAGGGCTCTTCCAAGAACACTCTTTGTTAGACACCTGTTCAGCGCAAATACAGCACACGCAACTGCTTCTGCCCAAAACTTCTTGGGTAAATTTTTAGCTTTTAGCATACTTCTTGCCATTTCAAAAGTTGTTTTATTTTTTCTTTATGCTATACAATTTTGCTGAGGAGTATAGCTAGCAATCAACTGACGTTTTACTCCATGAATTTTACAATATTTATCAAATTCATTTGAGGTGAATTCTCCACCTCTATCTGATCTCAACGTCTTCAAATTAAAGCCACTATGTTTTTCAACATAGACTTTAAATTCTTTAAACTTGCCAAAAGCTTCAAATTTTTTTCTCAAGAAATATACCCAAGTTTTTTTGGCAAAATAATTCATAAAAATTAGCATGTACATTTTTTGTCTGAATGATTGAACCTTAATAAGGCCACATATGTTAGTATGTACCAACTCCAATGGTTGTTTTGCTCTTCTAGCTTTTCCAACTGGAAAAGTTTCTCGATGTTGTTTTCCAACAAGACATCATTCGCATGGACGATCTGGACAGTCAATCAAAGGCATACCGATCATCATCTTTTTCTGGACTAGTAATTTTAGTTCATGAAAATTTAGATACC